AGAGCTCTGTATAAATCCTCATCTCAATATCCACCTGGAGAGCTGTAGTAAAGCAGTAAAGCCTCCGTCGTCGATCGCTGAAATTGTTTGTGTGCGAATGCGAGAGGGAGATGCATTCTTCAGGGCCGACTCCCAGCCCCGAGAGTGTTGAGAGAGTGCCCCATTTCTCTTGCTGAACCCTCCTCGAAAGTAATTGAATTTTGGATGAATCCGCTGAGGAGGAAACACTGTCAGAGAGGGGAGAAAGTGGATGCTTGAGGAAAAAAACAATCAAAAGAATGAGAGGCAGGTGACAGCACCTTTTGGATGAGCTTTTCTTTAAAGAATGGCGCGCTGTGAGATGCTTGACAGGATAAGCTTTCATTGTAGGATTTTTAAGGGAGGACTATTTTTTCCGAAGATTTCATATTTTTTTGGACATCCAGTATCCATTCATTTGTTGAAGGGGGATAACTCTCCTTGCTTTTTTTCTGCTCTATTGTGTTCCTGATCATATCTCTGACAGTTAGACAGCTGCACTGAATCTTTCACTTCTCACTCGCTAATAATCATGTGCCAAGACGTAAGACGATAGTGACAATAATACATTGACACCCTTTTCATGATTACTGATAACAAATTGAGTGTTTGACCTTGATAAGCTCTTGAGTAGCTTATTTCTTCAGACAGGTGGCCATCTTCTTAAATACACTCCATTAGCATCACAAGCAGGGAATCAAAGAGAAAGCACATGGTCAAATTGAAGCTAAATATTTGTTATATTTGGGGTGCCGTGGTTTCCTTTTAGTCCTTCACTGCTGAGATTACGGATGGAACTGAAGAAGCTCTCCAGTTCGAGTGCGGGTACTGATGTATAGTAACCAAGAGAGCCATACTTACAAAGCTGCTTTCAGTTGAGTTTGTAGCAGTGTTTAACACCACAGGAGCTGGACGGCCATTATGGACACAAAGTGAGAGCATCAAATAGAGCCTCGAATGGCTCCTCAATGATATGATATAACAACCACATAGACATGTGGAGGGCAATCATGTTTTACAAAAGCAAGAATGCCTGCATCAATACGTGTGTGGCTGCCAGATTAGTGCAACACCTTTTAGGCTCGCTTTGATCTTCTCAACAGAGCCTGCCTCCCCTTTCCTCGGTGGACCTGACACTTATGTATCCAGCGGACGTGAAAAAAACCTGCAGAGGGTGAACGTGAAGCTTGCCGTGCCCTAAGAACATGTTGGCAACCTTTTAGCTGATGTCTTAACTGACATATTCGACACATCACTCCTGCGGGAATGCTCCTCAGCGATTACAAAGCACCAAGCAGTGTCCTTCTATCTATCATCTATCTATCTATTCATTCTCCAAACTAGGTGTGCAGCATGTCAAAGATACCCAACTGGATTGTATTTGGTGCCAGCAGATCCACAGGATGTCATCTCCACTCAGCTCTTAAACCTTAAAAATAACAGCACCTATGTCTGAATGTTTTTTGACAAGTTCAGCAGTCTTACTACCTTCTGCAACTGGATTCTGGACCAGCAGACCACTGACAGTTTGGATTGGTAGCCACACCTCCACAAAATACTACTACATACAAGTACTGTGTGGAGGTTACTTCAAACTTCCACAGAGGGGTAATTGAAAGAATCCCGTCTCCTCAGGTGACAGTGTGGCACCATACAAATGAGAGTATGTTGAAATCCACCCCGAACATCATCATTATCGTATCGTTGCCCGACATTGGCGAGGTGAGGTGCGTGTAAGGAGCCCACAGAGCAGTTAAGGACATCATCTAGTCCAGCCACAGTCTGTTCCTCCTGCTGCTTGTCTAGCAGGAGATACAGAAGGATCTGCGGACTACAGGGCAGCTTCTTTCCTCAGGTTGTAAGACTCCCCCACACCACCACCAATGAAGACTCAACTGTCACTCATCTCACCTACCTCTGCTCTACATGCTCAACATCTGGCACTAAATAGAGCTGAAACAAGGAATCAAATGACAGAAAATGTATCTTCATTTGAAGGGGTCGCCTTGAGGTTTAGCAAGTTGCAATGAGTATTTTCTACTGTTTTGGGACATTTTATAGACTAGATTATTATTTGATATATTTCTTTAGATTCTGCAGAAAGAACCAACTGAATGTTTAGAGGAAGTTATTTTCAAATCATAATTAAACACTGAGAGCAATACATTTTACTGTTTACTGTAGTATGAACAGTACTTTGTAATGAATTGTCAGTGACATTTTACTTTTTTGCATCTATCCAATAGGTAATCATTGAGCAGCTGCAATATTGCATAGTATTTGCATACAGTATATTGCTTTATTTTTCATTTATTGGTTTTAACCCATGACAAAAATACAAATAACATTTAACTAACCTTGGTTGGAGAAAAAAAAAAACCCCACTGAGATTGGTGTCCTTGGAAACGGCTTTGTGAAACCTCACTTCTGGAGCCATTTTCCTCTCAAAGGAGGCACACAAGCCTAAAGCACTCATGTTTTCATGTGTGATTCTTCAATATATTTAATCCCATAATCCACAATTTTTGCTGTCTGCACACATGCGAGCATATTGTATGATCAGTGTACCCAACAGAAGATGACTTACTGTATTTACTCTTTAGTGTAGTCAGTACCAACATAAAATTAATTACCCTGCATTGCAGGAGCACGGTTTTAACCTTTTCAGTTTGATGTTAAGCAGTCCAGGATATCACTGTGAGCCGCACGGATACCGAGCAGAACTGGTGATTCAGTTGTTTCCACTGTTCAAACCAAAGTAAGAGACCACAGCTTTTGTGCTAATGTTGCAGACTGTCGCCCAACATGGAAAACTAATTAAAAAGATAAGATTTTTGTGTGGTGGCGTGTAGCTTTTTGAGGTGGCATTGGTTGCAGGAAGCAAGGGCTGATGACAATAGGCCTTTGACAAGAAGAACACGGCAATGTCGCCATCTTTGGCTGCTGGCCAGTTTCGAATGCCTCTGTGAGTGTCTCAAGGGTTATTGTGGCTTTTCAGGGTTTCCCCTCAAAGGGTTTCTGATACAGCTTTGTGGAATCTATGTAAAGCATCTTTGTCGTGACTGAAATGCCAATGGAAGAAGCCTCGTAGCCTACATGGACATCTTGTCACACCAGAGCAAAGATGGCACTTTTGCCTCTAGCAAGGAGATGAATTAGTAGATAACAAAAAAAGAATTTTCACATGGAGGGGTTTAATGAGTAAGTGCATTACTGAGTTAGCTGGGGGCAAAATCTGAATAAACTTAACCTTTAATGAACTTTAGACCAGTCCTATTTCATATTAGATACAGTTTGACTCCAATTAGCTTTTTTTTCATAGTTTATCAGACAAATATTTCTGATTGGCTTTTGGCTGATTGGGGTTTGCATTGAAATTGGTTAAAAAACATGATTCTCATTTTGCATCCTTATTATTCTTATTATATTATTTTTCTTAATGACTACTCTTAGCTACAATTAAGTTCAGCAGTTATAAAGAGCTGGCCTCAATTAGTAGGTGAAACATTCAAAATTAATATTCCAAGACTGGCCAAGATATTATCAGGACCAAATTTATAATTTAAAGATTACATTGCCCTAGTGTTTATGGGTATTTCAGTCATTGGCTATGATATAAGCCAGATAAACCACTCCAACCTGTGCTGTTATGAGATATAACACATTACAACACATTCTAATTTAATATCCACACATCCACTTAAACTACACTATGTCACATTTGGTATTTGTTGCGATTCGGCACCCCCAGTTGTAATAGCATAGTCATAAATATGGACAGCTGTACACATTCATTTGTTATGATTTGCATTACTTATGATCAAAAACTAGCAACTCGACAACTTTGCTAACATAGCCAAACACCAAGCAAGTGCAACAACACAAGACATAGCAAGCTAGCTAATATTACTGACTTGTCCAACAGCAAGAAGGCCAGCTTGCGGTCTGTCTGCAGCCTTTTATTTCACAACACAGCTGTCAATAATGACTAAAAACCAGTCCACCATAACCCAATGTATTTTTCAGTTTCATTAATAAAGGTTCCACCTGAGACACCATGTTAGTTGCTAAGATAACATGTATATTAAATTTAAATTTTTTAATAATAATACATGACTTATTTGTTTTGATACCAGCATTATATATTAGGCCATCGCTGCCCTACATATCAGCATCAGCCATTGAAAAACCCATATCCGTCAACCAGTACTTGTCAGTGCTTTCTAAATGACCTATCTTTCTGTGGTATTCCTGCTCTACAGTTTCTTATTATTATTATTAGCCATCATATATACTGATACCAATAAGGTGTGATAAGCCAATATCGATCCATTCAGTGATGATTCTGTAGTTTGTTTGTTTGTCTTTTTGTTAATAATTCTGGCCTGCACATAGATCCAGATTTAAACTTGAGAGTGATGGCTTTTAACTTAGTGACACCAGCTGAAATGTCATGTTATGTTGAGAGTTCTCCATATATAAGACCATATTTAATTTCACCCACCATCTTATACATCATTCCTGTATGAGAAGCTGCATGTTAACGGAGAGATATCCTGATCAAAGCGGGCACCTGATTATGTCAGTTGGTTGCGTTAGTGTCGTAGGTAGTTGACAAAGCTGCAAAGCCAGGTTCGCCTTGATAGAGATGCATCTTGACATTTGTATCATCAACAGCCTCCCCCTGATTATACAGTAAGTCCCTGAAGAGTCACTGGGATAAATAAAGCAGAGGCAGACAAACACTTTAGAGAACAGGATTTGCACATAGTGGTGTTGGATTTTTTCCAGCTGACCTTAGGTCTTGTCAAAGTTCTGCAATTATTGGCTCAGAACTTGAAGGTTTTTTTTATGTTTTAGCTTTGATCAAGCATCTCCTGCCAGTATCATTATCTCTTCTTTTTTGATGTTTTGACTGTATTCGGTGTATTCTCGGCCTGTCTCAGTACAGAATAATAATGCAAGCTTTTGTTTCCTTGTAGGACTGGTAAAAAATGAAAGCTCCCATTCCTCTTCTGATCCTGCTTCATGCCGTTGTGGTCCATTGCCTGAAAGTGGTGTCGAAGAGAGGCTCAGGTAAGTCTTCTCTTTTTACAACAACTACTTTATTTTCCTTTTGTTCAAATGATAGACAGTCCTGAAAAAAGTATGCTATATATTAATGTGTAGAGCCTTATTAATTGGTGCAGGTTTGATTCCCTGGGACCTGCCAAGATTTCAAGGCTTTTTTTGCCTGAAAGCACAAACCGTGTTTGAGTCAACAGCAGGGGGATCACATGGCCTTGTTGTACTTGGAGGCTCGAAACCAGTCTTTTGTCTTTTAACAGCTTGATTTACAAGTCCACAAACACTCCGTAATTCAGTCTGAGGCTCTGTGAGTGATGATGTTGATCTTTGCACATCAATTGCATGGTTTAATCTTGTTTTAATGTGTTAATAAGAACACAAACTTACAGCTTACCTCTTGATTGCATAATGTGAGTTCACATGGTTTTGGTGAGCCAATGATGGTTCAGTAATGTGTACTAACCCTGCCTCAATTGGACCCCCAGGTGCTAATTTGAATGATTGAACATATGAGTGAGTTACTTTCTTGATGCATTAAGTGCTATTTAGGTTGAAGCTATGGAATTTGCAGCAATATTCAAGTATTTATAGGGCCGTGGCACTAATACTGCACACCTCTCCAGACTTGAAAATAATCACTTTGTACAAGATGATAGATTGCAAGCTAGAGGAACAGTCCACATTGGCTAACAGGAAGCATAAAGTAAGTCTTTTACCAGTCTGTTTTTATCTTCTTTTTTTTTTTTTTTAATATCCAGAGGCTGCTTGCATCTGGGTTTTTACCCATGCATATTAGACACAGGTGTAAGAATGGCCCAAGGCTCATCAGAGGGTTTTCTGCTTTTGCAGCAGAAGTCCCTACGGGCTATCTCCTCCGACGCTTCACGAGCCATTGCCTGGGGCAAAGATTTGAAACGTGTCCACTGATAAATGAACGCCCCATCCGAGCCAGACCTCCGTCCTTTGTTCCTTCTCTTTTAGCTTGTACGGCTTTATTAGAAGCCATGCTGGTTGCAAGTTAGAGCACCATGGTAAAAAAAGGATTCTGGGCAATGAAAGCCACTTTGAAATTGCATTGCTTTCATTTTTATGGAATGGAAAGAAACGGTGGGGGCGGGAAGGTGAGTATCCTGGTGTCATAGCAGGTATATTTTCAAAGAAACGATTTTCAGGGTTTAAGGTTCCTTTGTTTATGAGATAAAACTTCTGCGGGTCGTTTCGTCATATTTTTTATGATAGATTGGATGAAATCAGGCTTATAGTCTGATTCAAAACCCTAAAGTTCACTTGTAGTGTTGCTGAATCTCATAGAAAACTGTCACCTGGCACTACACTCATATTATATCCTCCACTGTGAAGGGCCTGTGTATGCATATTGTACAGTGTTTACAATGTTGGTTGAGTCATGCAGCTGTAGAGTTTGTTTTATGTTAGTCTTTGGTCCATATTAGATAAAAATATGGAGATCCAGTTAAAACCTACACCAATTACTGATTGAATCTTTAATAATACAAACTGAGCAGCTCCAAATTCTTTAAACGTGCGTTGTTTTTCATTTGCAGCTGTGTTAAAAGAAACTCACTGTAGACAATCAAATCTCTAAGTGTCAGCCGATTAAAGGAAATTAAATGACTTGATTGACTCCCTCAGGGACAATGAATCCACTCTCTCAGTTGCTTTCCCTTTCACCGGGCTCACAGTTACACACAGACACACATACGCAGGAACCCCTGCACAGTGCTGCATGTGCTTCGCTATTATCTGTAGATGATTAAATTCAAAACACCAGCCTTTGAGTAATGCTTTGTCTGCATTTGTACTTGGGGTGGAACAGTGCAAAAACATATAATGCATATCTGCCATACTAATCCTCAGTGTGCATAAGTAAGAGAATCTATCCATTTGTCCTCTGCTGTGGTTCCTCTTTGTTAGAATGCTGATACGGCCTGAATGGTTCGGCGAACAGAATAATTATGTGTATTTCTGCTTAAAACAGCACATCAAGTCAGATGTTGAAGTAAACCCCACTCTTGGATGCTCTTGCATTGTTGTATACCATCAGTCGTTGATATTCAATCCATGACGTACAAATAATTCCACAGGTTATTTCGTGTTTGAAGTGGCTGCATTGCTTCTTGCCTTTTTAAAGCTATTGTCTGTGTTTATGATCAGTGTCTGACTTCCAGTGCAAAACAATCAATGTAGAAATAATGCTAACTCTGATAAGGATTAAACTGCCCAAAAGGGATCTGATTGATCTCCTGTTGTACAATAGAGTAGTATTTTGTGTATCGAAGTGGTGCTATGATTACTATCAGTGACTAGTTGTCTGTGTGATAAGTAAAATACACCGAAGAATGCACCCAGAAAGATGACCAGTACATGATCTTGGTTTACTGTTTACAGCAGGGATTTGAAATCCCAGTTGCTTATAAATCAGTGTCTAGTGTGGTCAGCATGTACATCGCAGTTTAACAGATTTGGTGTGATGGCAGAGGTCTAAAGATTAGAGAAGTGGGCTTGTCACATGCCCAGTGGGAAAATCTGTGTGGGAAATGTGAACGAGTGATACACATACTGTCAAATTGGCCTTCAGCAAGACACTTAACAATGATTTGCTTCTTTCTGTAGAGACACTAGAATCCTTTGGTTGTACATGGCCGCTCACACATATGAATGTGTATTGAATTTAGCGTAAGGCTTGTAGTGTTGGAAAAGAAGTTGGTGGTCAGCAAAACCTTTACAAATGGATAGAAATCTGATCATTTGAAGATATTTCTACACTTTATATATTTAAATAATTATGACTATGATCACTGACTAATGAAATCTTAAGGTCACAAGCTACTGACCTTTTACCCTTACCTCATCAGTCATCACTTAAATGCCTAACAGCTGGCATTTAAAGCTAAAACAGCTAAGATTAGTATTAGTGTTGTATTAGGAGGGTAGGATTTTTGCAAAAATCCATTCATTATGAAATGTTTTTAAATAAATTTCAAAAGGGAATTATATCTATTTTATGGATAACAGTGATCCATAGACAAAGTCAGGCTTTGTTGGTCTATTTCTATTTCACTTGCTATCCTTGGTTATTAAACCAAGATCCTGTTCTCTGAAAATGGGTTGTTTTGCTATTATTGTATTAAACACACAATTGCCTCCCTTGTTGGCCACTTGTGACATACTATACAATAGATGCTTGGAAGGGCCGCGTGAGAAATCCCTAAATGTGCCTGTTTGGTTACTTGGCAGTGAGCTGAACAGAGCAGAACCCTCTTTCTGTGCACCGCACAGCTGCAATTTATTTCATATGAAATAGAAACTCAAGAGTTCATGTAAGGTCTCACTTTAGACTCTCTAAAGTAATAACTATGCATTTATTCATTTTCTCACCTCTGAACATGGATTACAATCAGAGTGAGAAGGAGCTTCGGAGGTTACTGAGGATGACTTTTGGCAGCCCTGAATGCAGAATAGAATAAAAAGGGCATGCACACACATCGCTAAAAGGGACTACAGAACATTTCCTAAATACTGTAGTAGTTTTCTAAAATATTTCATGGGCAACACCATTCATCTGCATTAAACCGTGATCCCTGCTATGTCTTCTTATCTTTGGTATTCAGTTTTACTCCATGCAGCTTCCTATTCTTCCCAGGCAACAGGAGTTTTTGTTATCCCCAGGGATTTACTCTAATGCGTCTTGCTTAGGGGTCTGTTGAAGACATGCTTGCTTTTTTAAGGACTGGACTTGCTGTCTTTTTGTAGGTTGAGGGCGACATTTAAGCTATTAGAGTAACTGGCTTTCTTTTTTTGGGCAAAATCCGAATAATAATCAGTGAATTTCCTCTGAGTCCATGCTCGATTTATTTTACCATTTATCTGATTTGTAAGAAAACTGAAAGATTTTGTTTTATGTCCCAAATCAACACAGCAGTTAGGAAACCACTCTAAAAATGGGCTGTCAAGAGATTTTATTGTTCATGGTTGACTTACAATGAGGCAAACCAGGGACAGCGTCACTGTCAGCCACCGACCATTTACCCCTGTGCCACACTGCAGGCACAATAGCTTCATCTATTCAGAACAATCGCATGTCATTTTCAAAAAAACAAGCAGCTTTTTGGTCCACCAGTTGGTTGCCGCAGCATTTAAAGTATAGTTGCTGCGGTGAAGAAAATGTCTATTTTATATTCACTAAAAGTCACCTCTTAACAAAACTGTTAACACATGTTCGTTCCCCCCAGTGAACACTGATGTCAGCTGTAGATTCACAATCATATTCCTTGACATTGATTGAGACAAATTTAGCCACTCTTCTCCCCTCTGCTGTACAGTCATTAGTCCCCATTTCTTCAGCAGACATTGATGAGTCCCCAGACAAATGATGCTTACCTTTCCACAGTCTCCCAGTAATTCCAGCAATATATTACCCATAACACTCACACACAGTGAATGCATCATTCTGTTATTCATGCATATGTAAAAAGCCGCTCTCTGACATGTGTTCCCATTTGGAAATATACAGAATTCCTTTTCTGCCTCTAGTTTCTATTAAGGATGGTCCGAGGGCCCGGCGTGTCACTCTGATGAAGAGTAGCTGTAAATAAAACACGCCACCGCAACAAGACCTTGGTTCCTATTAGAGAGCAGCCGCTCATCATCCGTCTCTCCCAGTGTATTTATCTACTGCCTCTACATTAGGTCCACAACATATATTTCCCCCTCTCCTCACCCACTTCTTCTTTCCGCCATTGCAGAGGGAAGAATCAAGGACATCCTGACAGTGTGTTAAATTTACAGTGTTCACACCCATCGCAACGCACAACTCTGGGAGTACGTCAACATTAATACGTCAGTTAAAGCATGGAAGCTTCTCCCCACATTAATGGGGCTACTCCCAATTTGGCCAATAATAAGGCTCCTCTTAATTGGACAAGACAGTGATTCCTAACAGGGGACGTCAGCGCACAGCACAAATTCAATTATGGCGAGCCACTTGACTT